AAATATTTTTCGTCCATATTTGGTCACAATCTCAATCGATGGTGACACTGGTAGAGCGATGGCTGAATGCAAAAATGCGTAAATGAGAATTCTGATTAAAATGCATGTGACTGATTAAATCTTTTTATTGTTTCTCGTTGAGTTGATCGGTTAAAGCAGTCATAAAAACAAATTTCCCAAATTGTGGCCATTTCTGCAAGAAATCAAAAATGGCAGCCAAACCACATGACTGACCAAAATATTTTTCACATAAGTAGGTTTGGCCGTATATGTTGTACACAAAACATTGAGTTAATCGGTTGAAGCACTCATGGGAAACAATTGTATTAACACTTTTGGCATTTTCCTTATAATTCAAGACGGTAACCAAACCATGTTTGCACAATTTTGATCTGAATGACGTCAGCAGTCTGGTTTTATTATGGAACATACGTGTTACCAAACAGTACAAAAGTTGAGTATCACGGGGGGGGGGGGGTGGATTCTTCTCCTCTGGGGTCTCCACACGTGTAAAGGATGAATCTCGTCTCTTCTCTCTATCGCGTCCCCTTGAGGTACGGAATCGGGAAAGTTACTTAAACTTTACAGTCAAATAGACGCACACAACAAAATACGTTTCAACTCTCGTCTTAGTCGGTCAGTCAAGCACTCTATAAGACACAGCGCCCTGGGGAAAAGTCCCCAAGACAAAACAGAGCCGTCAAAGTCCACGACTCTGAAATTTTTAGGTAAACGAACGCACGGCAAGCACGACTAAAGATCACGCGAAATCACTACAAAATTCCAGTTTTCTTTCAAATATGATAGTAAATAGTGAACGGAAACCTGGCAAACTAATCAGTTCGTGAATATTGCCGCGTATCGTGTTCCCCTAACTAGTTATTGGCGTATATCAGAAAAATTCTGTAGGAAGGTACCTGGATGGAGGTAGACATACGAATATGGCAGCAGGTCGACACACGAATATGTCTACCTGTAATGCGCAAATCTGATTGGCTGTCGTGGTCATAAGGTATAATAAAATAAAATGTACCACAAAATAAACTATCACACGTGTATCGCACATATTGACAGACATCGACAATAAGTCTAATTCTACATTTTTAACAAATGCCGCTAGCATAGACTCGATAATTTTAGACATTCATTCGCTTTAGATTTTTCATTCGCTTAGCAACGGATTTGAAGACTTATTTAATTGGGACTACACATATTACACTAGAGACACATGGACTGTCACATAACTTATAGTTTCTAAGGTTTGTGCTAAAACCAGACACAGTACAATGTAACAGAACGCATTTGCGTGTAAATTGATTATTGAAATGATATTGTTTATCATACAATTACTACACAGTTTCATTGATGTATCCCTCTATATCTTGGCTTTATTATACAAATACTCACCCCAACTGAGGTGGACATACAGTTTTAGCGATCGAGAGAGCTAATTGTCAACCGAGGTGTACATGTGTATTATTATACCGAATAAATCTTAAAACAGAAATTGTGGCACTCAATCATAGCAATCTTCCAGGTCACACTTGTAGAGCTGAATGCATGTATGAACACAAATATACAAGTAGAAAAATGTCAAGAGTAGTGATTGAATTCTAATGAGTTTTATCATTTTTATTTTCATGGTTTTGATAAACCCTAATTTCAACAGATTCAGCCTGACGAAAAATTTGTTTGCAGCAACATCCGGTGCCACCCTGTGTGCAGCTATACGCTACGCTGCGTTCAAGTCCGCATTACATGTAGAACAATGAAACGAGCTGCACACGGAGCTGCACGCTGCTTGAGTGTAGGTTTATGTCAACACCATTCTCTTTCAACAAATACAATGTGCATAATATGGCGATATACTGCCAAAACACACAAAATACCACAGACCTTAGAAAGAGAGGGACAGGCAACTACAATATTTCTTTTGTTTAACGTGGGTTATAATCCTCCAAATAATCTCACAATCCTAATAACGAATAAACAACCATCTGTTCATTTGCACTGTCGGCAGCACTCGTGAAATCGAGTTTTCCTCTTAATATCACACGTTTCCAAACAGTTTAGAAAAATCAGAATTTCGACTTTTGTAAAGCAATTTACCAACTAATATACCATGATTGTTTTGAAAATGACACGATTCAAGTAAAAAATACAATAATTTGAACAACAGATGTTTTATTTTTGAGAAATCGGGCGAAAATAAAGCGATCTAAAACAAATCTGGACGAGTCCTGCTTGTCCAGACGGCCGTTCAGAAATTTCAGGATTATGACTGTAAAATATAGACTAGCAAAACTAAAATACGCGAGTCCTTGAAAATAATACGATTTAAGTGGAAATACGATAATGCAAACAACAACTGTTTTTATTTTCCTGAAAACGGGCAGTCGCAGGATAAGAATTAGTCAACCATTTGTCACCGCACATAAAATCAGTCGAGTAGTTAATTTTATACTGGTGAAAAAACGAATTGTAACTCTACGTATATCAAGTGTCACTTACCTAATAACCAGTACAAAATACCCTAGACTTTAGAAAGTGAGGGACAGGCAACTAAAGTATTTCTTTTGTTTTAACCTCGGTTATAATCCCCCTAATAATCTCACAATCCGGATGAAGGTCTAAACATACGAATATGGCAGCTTGTCGACACACGAATGTAGTCACGAGGTATAATAAACAGATGGTGAACTCTATGTCATCACAGCCGTCACACCGCATTAAAACACAATTGGTAAATATATTAGACATGTACCAGATTTGAATGAAATCCAGCCACAAATGTCTGAAATTCAGTTCCATGATAGCCACGGTAATTTCACAATGATTTTTGTGCATTTTTACAACCACGGTTATGAGCTGGTCATTAAATTGTTGCATAGCGTACATAATGCATAAATGACATATAATCGAATGAGAGCGAGCATGAATTATAAAGTCTGGTTACATAGTGTAATACTATGATACATGTATTTGTTGTGCCCCGCTTCTCTGGGATTGTACTTATAATCAGGTCACACGTTCACTCGAGTTAAGTGGTAATATTAATAACTCTTGCCCACAGTTGATATGGCAACAGCCGAATCTAGAACATATCTCTTTCTAATTATCTCGAATGTGTGCCTATTTTGTGTGTGTGCGAGTCTAGTACCGTTATCATGGCAACACCCGAAAAAATATAATTTGCGTGAAGCGAATTGTTCAACAAAATTAGGTCACTTTAGTTCACAAATGGACTATTAGTCCCCTGTTAATCTTCGTGATTGGATAGTGAAATGTGGCAAATATCATGGGGGTCAAAAAACTACCGGATAGTCCAAACGTCGGGTAGCAAAGCACAGTTGTATTTTGAGCTTAGTATACATCCTAGTATACATTCTATCTTTTTTTATATTTCACTGACACCAAACGAATTACTCTTACTGTAATTTGTGCAAGAGATTAAAAATCACATAAAGCAGCGCCATGTTTAGTCATGCACTGTGCGTGATCACATATGTCACCAACACTGTGCGCGATCACATATGTCACCAACACTTATCTAAAAAAAATATGTACGGCAGCCACCGAACATTGGAATTAAATACAACACAACTTCACAAACAACCTACCTTTACTTCATGTTTTCTTTGTTAAAAATAATCCAAACGCAATCTATACAGAGCTCCTTTTTATACAATAATCTGTTTCGTAATAAAGACGAGCATTTATCTTCCAATTGCCGTTAAATAATACAATGTAGTGATTCAACGACGCTTGTAGTGAATATGACTATTGCGAGAGCAATATGCTTTGTGTCGGGGACGTAAGTGATTGTGCGCCATCAATGATGCTGATTTGCGTAGTGTGATGTCATTCCTTGATGTGTGGTAAATTGTTGGAATAATACTCATTTCTACTGATCCCCGCTTCACTTGGTATATTACTAATTATATTATACCAGTATATTGATGGTGTTAATCCATTGATTTGATTGGTCCAAACACAAAATTTGCATATGCAATCCATGGTATATTGGCTGATAATGCACGGCTAAACCAAGTGGCCCTGGAACATGAATTGACTACAGGTTCATACGGAAATACATAAAACCGGTATTATTTGATTTTTAGGGAAATATAGTGGTTGAATTTTGGAAGAATATTAAAAAAAATACTGAATTAAAAACATCTGAAAAGTTATATAACTATAATATTGCTTTTTGTTAATGGTGGGATCCAAGTTGTGAGCGTCGGTCGTTGGGTGATTGTCGTTCGCCACACAAACCTAAACCACCGTCCCTCAACACCGTGAGGTGCCTACACGAACGCCAGAATGCTATGTTCTCAATGTTGTTACTTTGAGATGGATTGCGAACTTCCAACAAAGAAAACATGATCTTTAAGTACAAGATATAATTGAGGAATTCAATGACATAAAAATGCAAAAAACTATGAGTCACAGGCAAAAATGTATGCCACCAATAACAACCGGTGTCCGGTAGCGGCAGCTGACAAAATTGCACCCGGGTAATTGCCATCTGTTTCAAAAAACACGGGACAACGCAGGATTCGACGACGATATATGGTATTATAATTCTCCACTATGGGTAAATAAATTACAGGAGATGATGAAGATAATTTCGAAAGCTACAGATTTGTGACGAGTGT